TCGTGAACATCTATGTTTACAAACATTTCTCTTCTCTTCCTTTCTGGGTGCTGATTCTTCCTCCATCTAACATCATGTTGACACAAGGGGCCTGCCAATCCCACCGGTCTCTCAGCTCCATGCTCCTCAGGCTGTCGGTGAGAGCCCGGCCTGGAATGTGCTGGATGTAAACAAGGGCTCTCCCTCCCTGGTAGGAGGGTGTGAGTAAGGCAGATGGTGACAGGAAAGCAAAGCTAAGTACTGAAAATGAAAACCTGGGGAGAGAGGCAGAAGGGAAGACATGAAGAGGCTTCTCAGTGGCATTTCTGCGGCTGTGGCCAGCTGTGTCCTTGCCCTGACTGTAATTTGGTTACGGGGGTTAATACATTCCCCTCATGCCATGATTATAAAAGTAGGGTGTCCCCGTCATTCACAATGAATGAGGTTCTCATTAATCAAGCTGTTATTAGTAAAACAAAAAAATGCAGTGTGAAAACATGCCCATTAGTTTTACTAGCCTAAATACTTAGGTTATGTGTAACTTGGTCTCATTTAATGAGATGCAAAGAAATAATTACTGCCATCTTTTTCATGGAACCTTAAGTTATAGTGAGAATCAGTACAAAAGCAACTTCTACTAAACTATATGTTAATTTCATATTTTTACTCACTTAATGACCTTGAAATTTTATTTGCACAAGATTGCTAATACTGGCATAGAATGGACTGACATAGTAGACTAAAAATGTCATTTATTTCTTTGTTATACCGTAAAACATATGAGATTTCACATAGGAGAAAAAGTTCTAATAATTGGCTTTCTAAAATATCATGAACATTTATTAATTAAGCATTTAATAGTTAAACGTTTAATGATTGAAATAGTATACCCTGAATTAAAATATTAACTACTAGTAAATATACACAGCCAGCTGTCACAGACAAAAGAGGAAAAACAATAGCCCATATATACTATTTTATCTGAAAACATGATTGTTATTAACCGGTAATCACAGGTACAACCATATGCAACTATATGAAGTTGTGGGTAAATAAACACATACACAAGATACACATTACACGTAATTATAAAAGCACGAACACACTGAAATATTATTCTATTATTGAAATGAAGCAAAGTAAACTAATCAGCTACACCAGGCTAAAAAGAAATAATGTTCAGGCAGCCTGGAATAAAACAATAGTCACAGTTACAGTAAAGCCTTGACTGCCAAGTGTCACAAAGACCAGGGGAAAATTTATGAACAAAGTAATGCAAACTTTTTTATCTTAAAAGCAAAAGCTGAACAAAGTAAAAGAGCTTTCCTACACCTACCTATACCACGGGCTGTACAATTTTCTGAACACTATTAGAGGTGAAATGTCTTGTTAAGGTATTAGCACTTTTATTTAGAAACTGATGCCATAAGCTCAAGTCATAAAATGTGTGTGTGTGCACGTCCCTGGCAGACGCGCCTGCTGCATCTGTATGTGGCGTGGAGAGCGACGCAGGCCTAAAGCTCTAACTCCTCTATGCAAATCTGACTTTTAACCTGAGCTGTAGGTGATGAAGAGTTAAGAAGGCACAAGTGTTCCCTGATAACCTCAAGAAGTTTGGGGCAGGAATGGGCTAAGGCTGACTGTGGCTGGGTCCCACAGAGCTCTTGCTATACAGCTGTGTGTTTTTCAAAGGAATTCAAATTCGGGATTAAGAAGAGCAAAGGGAGGTTGGAAGAACACGGGAGAAGCCAAGAAACATTGGTGCAGGTTCAGGAGATTCTTGACACTGAAAGTCAAGAAGGAGCCAGGAGGTCAGCGGCCAATGAGCAGAGAGAGAGGAGATAAAAATGAAGGGGTTTGTTAGAAGCCAGTCAAAAAACGGGGGGTGGCCGGGCCGGGGAGTGGCTCAGCGGTTGAGCGTTGACCTGGGATCCAGGCGATCGGGGTTCGATTCCCGGTCAGGGCACATGCCTGGGTTGCGGGCTCGATCAATGACTCTCTCATCATTGATGTTTCTATCTCTCTCTCTCCCTCTCCTTTCCTCTCTCTGAAATCAATAAAGATATATTTTTAAAAAAACAAACAAAAAAAACGAAAAAAAAAAAACGGGGGGTTAACAAGGTCACCAACATAGATTAGTGCTCTCTTCCTGGATCTACCCTACTTTAGCTGATGACCTTGCCCAGCACACAATATTTTATTGGACTTTGTGATTTTATTTTTATTTTTAGAAGAGAAGCCATACTGTAGGATCTGCCCAACTCATCGAAATAGGAGAAGCAGAAAGCAGTGTAAGAAGTGTAAGAACAATACAAAGGATCAGGAGAGGTTTACTGTCCTATTGTTCCACTTTTAACACATAAATCAGGTGATGAAAATAAAATGGAAACAATCCGATGGCATTAAATGTGGTACACCTTGAAACTTACTCAACTTTACATATCAATTATGTGTCTGTAAAACTGGGGAGGGGGCATACTAGCAAAGCGTACCCGATGGGATTGTCTGTCAGCAACGAATCATTCAGTTGAAACAGTTTGCTTGTTTTTAATGGTATTTATCAATTAACAGATGTCCGAGAACAGTTCATACTTGTGCTACTCAGTAATAACCTAAAATTCCATAGGCTACCATTAAAAAATATAAACATACATATAACACTATAATTGATAATAGAACAAATGAAGGGAAAAAAAAGAGCTGGAAGAAAAAAAGACACTGGGAAAGAATAATCATGGCGGGAAGTATTTTCTGGAATAGTTACTTACAAATAGATGGCTCCATTTTGGTGTCCCCCATGGCACAGAACACATAGCACATACTCAGTAAATAAATGCTTACTAGAAAGAATTTTTTAAAATCATGATTTGATTCCATCCCCTGTAACAATGAGTGCCCTAGGCAGCATCACCCAAGGTAACTGATGTGTCAGAAATGCTCTCTATTTCTGATAGCAGCGGCACGGAGTCATGATAAACAACAAAAGTATAAAAGCCATTATGGATAATTTTCTTTCATTTACTTTTAGCAGCAGGTAAAATCTGCCAGCATTACAAAAAATAATAATAATACCAGGAAAGGAGAAAGTATGAAAATTGCCAATCATAAAAAAACAACGAAACACACAAAAATGTCATAGTCACAGTGACATGACTTTCTTCCTTGCCTCCCAAAAATAGTATGTGAAATTGGGCTAGAGACATCCAGAATGGAACAGCAAAATAAGAATTCAAGAAGCAATTTTTTTAACCCTTTAAACTGATCGCTGAGGAGGAAAATTTAGAGTGAAGCTTTAGTGATATCATAAGACTTTTTTACTGCTATGAATTAGCTTATTGTGAAAACGTTTCCTCTATTCTCTGGAAAGTTCTGGGGAAGCAAGGAGATGAGAAAAGATTTAAGGTCGACTGGAAGTTGGATAAGGAGAGACGAGTGAACTTCGCATGTTTCCTTCCAAGCTTAAAAACATTCGGCGACGGTAGCACCTTCTTTCTCGCTGCATTACCTGCGCATGTTCTGCTGTGCTTCCCAGGGCCTCCGGCATCTGAGCCAGGCGGCACGGCCAAGCTCCGCGCCTCCGGCCCCGGCACGAGCCCTGTCCCCCAGGCACGCTGACTGTCCCCCGACAGCCGCTCCGCCCTCCCCGCTGCGCCGCTGCTTCTGATGGTGCCCAGCACGGTCGCCCCTCTGCCCTGAACCTGGTCACTTCCCACCCACCAGACAGTGCTCAGCTCAGGCCTCCACCGACGCAACAGCTACGCGGTAAGCGCCTACTATGTGCGCGTCTGCACGTGCACGTGTGCACATGTGTGTGCTGTGTGTGTGTATGACTCCTATCTAACTGAGTCCTCAGAAGTAGTAATTCTTCAAAGATCAACATAACAATGCTGAGTGATCTGCAGACTCTGGGGGTTGCTGAAAGGTGGAGACTGGACAACGACTCAGGTCCCCAGTGGGCTGAGTGGAAAGAGTGACATCACCAGCAGCAAATACAAGCGAATGCTAACAAAGATAGTAAGTGTGCTTGCTGCATGTGTGTCCCACAGACACACATACAAAACTAGGTTTAAAAGAGTCGAGAAAATCATGACCTTATGGGAAATTTATTCAGATTGAAGCAGAACTTCGCCGAGAAAGGCTGAGTAGGAAAATGGCTGTCTGTCCAAATGTCTGATCCAGCTCCAGCTGCAGTCAAAGAAAGCATTTTCCAAATGTACTTCCCTCACAAGAAAAAAATGCTCTTGAATCACACTGCTGGACACAGCAGGAGGCAGGCTCTCAGGTCTGCTTTTACTACGTGAATGGCTGAGAACTATTTTGAATGGCCTGTTTATTTTTAAAAATGCATCAAAATGCTTTTATTGCCAACAGTGAAATATCGTAATAAAGACATATGCTGGCGCCAAAATTTATGTGATTTATTGCTACCTGCTAGTAAGGTAGTTACTATTTCAATTTTAAACCAAAGTACATAAATGGTACAGCTTGTTATTTTTAAATTAAATAAATTCTGTTCTGTGCTTGTAAAAGAAAAGCACTTTAATGTCTTATTTTAAACAGTAATCTTGAAAAACAGAAGTTTAAAACAATCTTATTTTATAGATATTTAAATATTTCATCTATGTACTATTGTATTTAAATACCATTTTTCTACTTGCAGTTATTTGCTATAGAATTTGTTTAAATATAAGAAATGTACATTTTTATTTCTTAAAGAAATTATTTTTAGCTCCAAGGTGCTTTTTAATAAGTCAAACTTTCTGCAGTTACTTCCCTTTTAAAAAAATGATATTGAAATATATAGGCCCTTCATCTTGTAATTTAACAGCCTAGACATTTGTTAAATAATAAAATTTGATTCAATTATTTCCAGAAGAAAACAAATTAATGTCAAATCCTGAAATACTGGAAGAACATTTTTAACTATCAGATGCTGAAATGCTCTAGGGACACGTCCTACGTGATTTTGGTTATGTGTCCTCAGGTGGGTTTTCACGGCGCACGGAGGAAACCAGTCTCACCTGCTTTCGACTGCAGGTTTCTTCTTGGCTCTTCAGGGGCCTCGATGGGCTGATCAGCCAGGAAAACTCGAGCTTGGTCTATGGCGTTCAGGACGGAGCACTCTTTCTCCTTTAACTCACGTCTCAGTGCCTTGGCAAAGAGAAGCAAAAGTTGCATTTGTAAACTAATGTGCTCAGCAAGTAATGAGGCATCCTGAATTAGACCGCTTCCCACCACGCTCGTCCCGGGGATGACTAATAAGCAGCATTTAAGCAAAGTCAGAGGTGAAAACTGTAAATTTTACACATATGAATGATGAAATACATGAATAAAAGCAAAAACACGATTCCTGTCGAACTTAAATGTGCAAAAAACAACAACCACCACTTTGCAAGAAATTGTGACAGTGTATTTGAACTTACACAAAATGTACTTTTAGGTCAGATTGCTAAAATATAATAATAGGCTGTTCTAGAACACTTTTTCTAATAAGACTGACTGACAAAAAAATTACATGCAATGGCACAGAAGAAAGCAATTTCATAAGTAGTAATGAGATCCTCAGAAGTGTTTTACATTCTTTAGAATATATTAAGAAAAAAAATTAGGAGATTGAAACAAATTAAAGTACATGAAGTCAAAACTAAACCAGAGAACACATAAAAGACAGTCTCCAATTATCTTAAAATATGTTCCATTTCTCATGCTGAGGCAATTACAGTTTTTCCCCAGTGAGGTTTTTCATGCAAATCTATGATTCTCAGTAAAGTCTGTCTTCAGTACTTTTGTTCTTTTAAGTAGGGTTAAATAAACTTTCACCATGCTCCTATAAAATGTTTGGTGATTAAAACTCTAATCGACTAAAAACAACAAAACTCAGCCCATGGCTATTGCAAAGTAAGAGTAAATGAAGATTTCCTCATGTGCTATCTGATGCTGTAGCTAAATAAAAATTGTTGTTAATGTTGTTATTCTCTTAAACTACACACGTAAACACCTCCCGGCTCTAATATGTTGCTTTCAATGCAGTTCCCTGGCAACACATTATGAAAATTTATTTTTTCATTTTCTAAGATATCACACTCTAGTAGTATTTTAGAATCAATACAGTCTTTCCTTCTAAACACAACTGTTGTTATTAATAGCATTTGACATACTATGTTGCGACGATGAAATATTTCCAGGCTAAATCCACACTTTTCCACAGTAAGTAAAAAATAAACATTAAAAATCAGAATATTCGTCTGATGTCAAAAACTGGAGCTAAACACCTGAAAATACTGGTAATGAAGCTGAAGAAGACCATCAGGTGGGGAGGGATGAGAAGAGCTGGTGAGGAGTAGACTGAGATGGAGTGACAGAATATTGGTTTTTTGTGATAAGCACTGTAAATATTTTTGACTTTTAAATTATGTACAATTATGACTTTAATATTTTAAACTGAAAGAATAAAAGTGAACACCAACCCACACCCTAGACACAGTAATAATGTACAGGATATGAGATGAAATAAAACTTTCTCTAAAATCCATAGATAACATTTACGTGTTCTTCCCATCATTTATATAACCAAAGACTGACCATTAAACAAGCACAAGACAATAAATTCCAGATCAATTATCACCTATGAGCATGAAATGACTACATTGGGGGGGAAATGATAAAACCTCCACCACCTCATTTAAGAAATGCAGGTTGCAAAGAAGTCCCAAGGTGTGACACCCAGGAAAATAAGATGATCTTCGGACATTTAAAGTTTCTGATATACAGAAATAAAGGAGACACAAGAGAAACGGGGAATATATATTTGTAATCTAGAAATATATATACACATTTATGGGTCTCAAGTCAGTTATTCCTTTAACACAGATTATTGTTAGAGCAAGAAGCTCCAGATGAATGCAAATACCAGTATTTACTTCCAAAACCAAATGGAAATGTAAAATGATGATATGAGAAAGTATGCTACCTAAAAGGTTGCTAGCAATGAAAACCAGTAGGGAATATAGAAGTATTTCTAAAAATTGTAGTGGTCAAGAGTATATATCTCCCAAACCCAAACCTAACCAGTAAATGTGGGAGCAGTAAAGATTTTTACATGATGTTCAAGGGCTGTGCTAGATTTCTTCTTTCCGAAAGGGAAGGACCAGGAATGCACCTACTGAACACAAGCTGCTAGAAGGAGCTGGTTTATCCAATAGTATGGAGGATTCACAGACACTATTTAGAGACTTGGCACAAATGAGAAAACAGGAAACACCAACTGGTTGATGATGTGGAAGGAAGTTTAAAGCTAAAAGAAGACAGAACATAAAGGAATGTGACCGGAGAAAGAAGAACAAAAGCAGGACTGGTCCCAGGGGAACAATTATGGGGCATCTATTTCGTAGAGGCTGAATCCAGCTCTGTGGAGAAAGAAGATAGGATTCACAGGATTCCAGCGTACAGAAGTTTCTCACGGGGGGTTCTAGATTATTACTAGTTCTCAAAGTGTACATTGGGTAGGGGTGTGGGGTGGGGAGATGGCAAAAAGAGATTTATCTTGAGACTCTTTAGAATTTCAAAAATCCAAATGGAAAAATATATTTGTCTACAGAAGGGATACTGGGGAAAGCTGACCGGTCAACTTCCTTGATGGCTGGAATTTTACAAATTTCACACGGATGCTGTCACCATGGATCTTCCCACTGGCTGGTAGTTGGCTCTGCCTGGAAAGCTCTTTCCTCGGAAATCCACATGGCAGATCCCTCATCCATGAGGCCTCAGTGAGGCCCACCCACCCACCTTATTTAGCGGAGCATTCTACCTTTCCACCACCTGTCCCATGCCCGTCACTCTGCGTCACCGTTAGTGTGTTTCCTACACTTATTGCCTGTACTGTGCAAGGCAGGTATTTAGTTATTATATCTATTGTTTATTTTCTGTCTCTCAGATAAAACGTAATCTCCACAAGGCCAAGGATCTTTTCTGTTTTTGTCCACTGCAGTGAAAAAGGCACCCACATCGATGCCTTGGGACCTAGCAGAGCTTGGGCGGCTCTGAAATTGAGCCTTGCAGAGACAAGGGAACTCCCAACAGAGGACACTAGACATGAGCAGAAGAATAAGGCCGTGTGACAGTGAGCGCTCAGGGAATGACAAACATTTAATGCAGATAAAGCGGCAGCCGAGGTTGGAGAGGGGAGCAGACGATGCTCACAAAGACCACTGCACAGTGTGCTGCGCACTGAGACCCACCCAGCAATGGGCACTGGGAAGCCACTGGAGAGCTGGGCAAGGGGGCTGGGGAGTGACTGTCAGACTTGTAATTTTGTTTTTTATAATATCATTGTCAGGTCTCCTAGATTCGTGAAAAACAAATCTGAGTCTCAGAAAGCTGCATGGGTCTGGAGAATCGAATTTTCCTTCCTGACCACATTAAACTCCAGCACTTCATAAACAATGTGCTCTAAACAGGGTGTTGTCGGGAGCTGTCTCGTGAACTCCTCTGATATGCCAAGGGAGGTAGGGAGGTAGGGGAGGCAGGTGTGGGCAGGTGGGAACCACGCCAAGTAGGAAAAATGTTGGGCTCGAGCCCCATTGCCAACTCAGTACCCCAATACCCGAGAGAACAGCATACACAGAATAAAATCTGCGCATACCCTATTTGGCAAGTTTAATTTTGTTATTGAATTTGTTCTGTCTCAATTATATTTAATTGCATGTCAGAAATGGGCTTAACTTTCAACAGCATTACACATAGAATCATTTCACCACCCTTTCCCTCTCAATTAGACATGAAAAAAGCAGCATTGCCTAGCCACCTGGTGAACATTAATGATAAGACAATTAGGCTCCAACAGAGTTGTTTTGTATACAGAGCTACAAAGTGGCATTCAGCTTTAGGTTCTGATATCACGTGACTTATACATGGGTTGCCTTCAATGAGCATAACATAAACTAATTGGAATTTTTCCTATTTTAATGACTTTGTATTTTCATTCAAAACAATTTGGTCTCAGACAGTAACAATCATTGGCGAGGATGTGAAGAAGCTGGAACCCTCATATGCTGCTGGTGGCATGATGCAGTGGTACAGCCACTTTGAAAAACAATTTGGTAATTCCTTAAAATGTTAAAAGTAGAGTTACCACATGACCCAGCAATTCCACTCCTAGGGTATATGCCCAAGAGACCTGAAAGTATGGGTCCACACAAAAACTTGTACATGAATGTTCACAGCAATATTACTCATAATAGCCAAAATGTGGACACAACCTAAACATCCATCAGTTGGTGAATGGATGAATAAAATATTGTATATCCATATACCGGAATCTTACTCAGCAATAAAAACGAAATACTGGCACATGCTACAACATGGGTGAGTCTTGAAAGCATCATGCTAAGTGAAAAAAGCCAGACCCAAATGCTCATTACTACGACATGCCCAAACAGGTCAACGTAGAGAGACAGAAAGTAGACAAGTGCTTGCTCAGGACAGGGAGACAGGGGGAGGGAGGAGTCACTGCTCATGGGTATGAGGTTTCTTTCTGGGATAAAGAAAATGTCCTAAACTAGACTGTGAGGCTGGCCATAGGACTGGAAATACACCAGGAACCACTGCTGTACAATTCAACAGTGTGAATTTGATGGTTGGTGAACAACATCTCAAAATTGTTCTTAAAATAATTCTGTTCTTTCTTCTACAAAGGTGCTGTAGGTAATGTTTATTTTCTAACCTCTATGCCCACCCACCTGCAAAGTAATGGCTCACCCCATATGTTTAGGATGCTCTCACCTCAGTGTTTCCAGAGCATTCTGTATTCCTAACACAGTTTGTCCTGATACATTGTGAGTTCTTCCAAGGTAAGGCTCATGTCTTAACCATCCGAAGGTTTCCTCAATGCCTGCCTATATATATGTACAGTACTCAACATATGCTTGAGAAATAATGAATAAAAGAAGGAATGCTTTCGGGATTAAATACTACGTAAAACCTTAAAATGTGGCCAAGCAAAATATGCCAGAGTCCCTGAATCTTATTATTCTATATTGGCGTAACTATTGAATTCCATGGAATAACTACTGATCATCTGAACTACCTACTTTGCAAATTATTGATAAATAATTTTCAGATGCAAAGTTAGTTTTCTACTATCATCTGTCAGC